TTTTTTTTTTTAATGTAAACAATACAAGATTGTTCATTCGCTACTGAATATTTAAGTCAATAAATGCATTTGAATATTCCTTCCCTCAATCTTAAGACTCGTTTATGAAACAAAGCGAATATATTAATGGTCCCTGGATGAAGAGAAAATGGGCAGAATCAAGCCCCTTTTCATGAAAACACAACTGTAATGAAATAGGGACACAAACACACCAGGAGTATGTATACATAGACTTCAACCGCACCTCTGTCTTAAGTGTTAACTACACAGAATCTATTAAATGAAATAGGCTATTTACTCACATAGAAGTAGTTTTTGAGAGCAAACTATGTGTCAGGCCCTGTTCTAGGTACTGAGGTGACTGAGCAAACAAGACAGAATTCTCGCGCTCGTGGGGCTCACATTATATGGAGGGAAACCATGAAAGTTTCAAATGTATATGAGTTTCAGATCACAATAGGTGGGGTTTGAAGCAAAGTGGAGACATTCAAAGGATTACACAATAATAGATGGGGGAGGAAAGAGAAGGTATGAACATCCTGAGGGAAGCCTGAAATCAGCCCTTCTAAGAAAGAGATACCAGCCCAGTGTAGCAGGCACCGATCGCTAGAAAGGAAGGGAGGGACCCCCCCCCCGAGCAGCCTGTTGGGTTTTTGTGTGTTTTGCCCTGGGAAGAAGGTGTTGCAGGGTTTTAGGATGAGATAGGAGCTGAGCTGAATACAAGTGTAAACATTCTCTGCAGGACTGGTGAGCGCAGGGAGGGAGACAAGCGAATTTCAAGACGCAAGGGATGGTTTCCACACACACATCCAAAATGCACCGATTGGGTCTGCCTTCTGAAATTTGTCATGGGCTTATTCTAATTTCTTGCACTGACCAAGCACAAACTCAAATTTAGGTTTTATTAACAATCTAACTACTTTCTAATCCAGTTCACAATTTTGGAGGATGTCTGTAGAATGGCACAGGACTGGGTTGCTGGATGGTCTTGAGGATCATGTCTACCCTATGTGGAACGTATACACACACCCAGTGACGAGAGGAGAAACTGTACTTCTGAGAGTTCAGGCATACCAAAGCAGTGGAATCAGCCCGTACTATCATAATGCTGTCAAGACTTCCAGTATATGGGATACTGTCACACCTGTTTTCTTAAGCGTAAGAGCAGGAAGCAAAAACAGGTGCAGGGACACAGGTCCAGGGTGCTCCGCTAACCTCCCGGGCTCTCCAGTAAAGGTGACCCTTATAGTGACAGATCCACGGGAACAGAAGTGTTCCTGGGTGCAACGCAGGCCAAAGAAATCACCCAGAGAATGTGTTTTCTTAAGGACAGACGTTGGCGTTCAAGTCGTGTGACTTGACTTGAACTGAGCCACGAGTGGGTTTACTTGAATTCAACACTCGGGATGCCTTGAACCAAGTTGTTGTTGTTGTTGTTGTTGTTGTTTTTCCGACGTGAATCAAAGGCAGTTCACAGCAATGGTTTATAACAAAACCCAGCTTGCAGTTCGTGGGCCTCTCAGTCGGGTAGGGACTGAGCACCCCTGGTCCTGGCAAAGGACACAGCCCTGAGGTCAGGAGTCAGGATGCCAGACTGGATTCTGGGCCTCCTGGCCTTTGAGTGGCCACCATGAGCAATTGAGTCTCTCAAAAGCCTCGTTTATGCATCATCAGGGACCACTGCCTACCTCAAAGGACAGATGAGGGGGTTAAACGACAGAATTCACACAACATACCCAGCATATAGGGCTCAAAGTGTTAGCCATTATACGATTGTGAGCAAACCTTAGACTTGCAGACGTCAGTTGTGCGTCTGTGGTTCCAAAACCTGCGGTTCCTTCTTACAAGGAAATAAATGATGGCACGTTGGGATAATGCTGTTTCCTACATTAACTGATTCCAAGAACTCCTGAGTGGAGTGCGAGGACATCGCACGGTTGTGGTTAGACCCGCGGTGTGGGTGCAGATGAAGGCCACTGTGCCCCTCCTGCTGGGGTGAAGACAGTCCTGTGGTCATTCACTTCCACCAAAGATGCCGACCGTCGTGGGTCCAGACGCGTCCTTACTAGGTGCTCCGTAGAGACCAGTGATTAGTGGCCAGACAGCGTGGTGTGGGGTCAGCAGGTGTGAGCGCTAGTAGGACTTTTTCTTCAGCCACGGGAGAAGTGTGGTCGTGGCCCGTGATTACACCAGTGTAGCTTCATCTGGAGGAGGTGCGAGGGGTCACTCTGCATGCGTGACCCCAACACACTGAGCCCGCTCTTGCCCCCAAATGAGCGTGACACAATCCGCACGGGGTTTTGAAATTCCCCTTGGAGGTCACACTGCCTTCCCTTGAGAATCTGCATCTACTTCACATAGTTTTTGTGAAACTATGGAACAAATGGAAGATGAATAATCAGTGTTGACATTGATATAGCAACCGCAGGAAACCTGTTTCCATACATAACGAAATGTAAGACGTCAAAGATGACCTTGAGAGGCTTTTGTGGAAAAGAATATGACAGTTTGTTATCAGTCGAAAGACTGAAGTCCCTACAGACCAAAAACAAAATAAAACAAAACAAAAACAAAAAAAACAAACAAACAAAAAAGCTGGTCAAAAGATCTCTTCCAAATTATCAATCTAGAAACGGAACTTGAGGAAATATTAGGTGTGATTATTTCTTTACTTCTTCTCTGATATTGTTTATCAGTATCAGCCTTCTACTGGGGACTCTATGACATTCCTACTGATGCGTTTTCCTTCTTCTTTTTTTAATCTTTTTTTTTTTTAATGTTTATTTATTTCTGAGACAGAGAGAGTCAGAGCATGAGTGGGGGAGGGACAGAGAGAGAAGGAGACACAGAATCCAAAGCAGGCTCCAGGCTCTGAGCTGTCAGCACAGAGCCCGATGTGGGGCTCAAACTCATAAACCGGGAGATCATGACCTGAGCCGAAGTCGGTCACTCAACCAACTGAGCCACCCAGGCGCCCCTGTTTTCCTTCTTCTTGACAAGAACCTTTAAAAGTACTACATCCTATTATTTCATTTTAATTTTTCTGTATTAAGTTTTCTGAATTTTATGATTTATTTTCGAAGGATATTTTTAAAACTTCACCTAAAACAATTCTATTGACACTACATACTTAACATTCATCTCTAACGTGTTTTATTAGGTATATTAGACCTGTAAATGTTTACATAACAAATGAGTAATTGGATTCATCATTTTCTCTTTTATCTTTGTTAATGTTTGTTTATTTTTGAGAGAGAAAGCGCGAAGTGGGGAGGGGCAGAGAGAGATGGGGATAGAGAATCTGAACTGGGTTCTGCGCTGTCAGCACAGAGCCCGAAGAGGGGCTCCAACTCCCAAACCGTGAGGTCACGACCTGAACCCAAGCTGGACGCTTAACCGACTGAGCCCCCAGGCGCCCCGCTATTTGCTCTTTTAATTTATCTGGGCGTTTTTGCTTTTACCAACATACGGGCATTAGATGGCATGGGAGCCAAAGAGCAAGACTGACAGTGAGCCTGGCAGGGGGACTCTTGCTGTGGCAAGCCCGTGTGGTCTTTCTGGAGAGAATAAAACGTCTGCATAAATGGGATAGCACTCTGGACCAGATACTGGAAAACAGAGCGGTGTCAACAGACGAGCACAGGTAACTTAGAGGTAAATTTTTGAGAACGGTCATGAGAAACACGGAGCTGAACCCTATGAACTTGTCAGTCGTTGGACAGTTTCTGATCTACAAAAGGCAATTTTGTTCAATTAAACGCAAGCCTCTTGACCCACGAGAGCACAGCTGCCCTCCGACACTTGCACGTGGTGTGGCGCACGGCTAACGGAGGCCTGGCTGATGACTCATCTTTGCACGTGCACCTGTCATGGCCCCAGCACAGGGCACAGAAGCACAGGGGAACGAATGCTGGCTCCAGTCACAGCCAAGTTCCCCTGGGCTCCTTTACACAGCTGAGTACCTTGCCGCAGGGCCCCTTATCAAACCCTATCTACACAATATTTTTGACACGTCGGGGTGCTGTGGTGTTGACTCTCACTTCTGTATCTTCTCTTCAACACTCCACGGGATGTCCTGTCCTCCTCAACCAGCCCACAGGCGTGCACCTGTGGGTACATCCACCTATCAGCTGCCTGTATGTCGTAAAGAGACCCAGCAGCATGCAGTCGGCGTGCATTTCCCAAATACCGTGTGCGTCTTCAACTTAAATTTCTGCCTTTCCGTGAAGGACGCTCACATTCAGGCCAGAGGCATACTGAACACTCCGGAATCTCTCATGCTGCCGGGCATCCTTCCGTTCTGGTGTCCCCCGCCCCCATCTAAGACACCTCCTCTTCTCCTTTCGTGGCACCGCCCTCATTAAAGCCTCTTCAAATCCGCACAGCCCAGGTCTGGCTCCCTGTTCCAGAATTGCCGGGGCCT